AGACCCAATTCAAAGCTGGGCACGTGCACAGCGCTGCACACCCTACACTGCTGCTCAGTGCTCTAAGGATGCTCTGTCCTTTCCATGCTTCCCCAGGAGCGTGTGAAGACGACACTGGCCACCACAGCCTCAGTGGAAGCCCGGTTACCTGTGCAGGCCCAGCAGATCCTCCGGCAGGTGAGCCAGGGCTGGATTAGCCCTTGGGGTACAAAATTCCCCATAGCAAGAATGAAAGAGTGAGAATGGGGTGCTGCAAGAGGGGAAGGGGCACCTGAAGCCTCCAGTAGCCCATAGCTGGTTGGAGCAGGGCTGGAGCAAGGCTGGGAAGCACAGCGCCTGCCCTCCATGCTGCCTTCCCTCTGTCCAGGAGATCGGCTGCTTCACGAGGAAGGAGCTGCGGTACTTCACACAGTACCTGAACTGGGTCGGGCAGACGGTAGGTGCTCACCTTGGCCACAGATGGATTCTTTGGGGCCAGGAGCCCCTGGGGATGCTGCATGCAAGACCCTTGCTGAGCTGAGGCAGCAAAATGCATCCCTGCCATGTCAGAAGTGGGTTTACACCTTGACTCCACTTCTTGTTCCAGCTGAGGGAGGATGTGGCTTCGTGCCAGCCACTCGCCACAGCCCTGGACAATGGGCGGGTGATTCTGTGTGACCGCATCGCTGACCCCTGGGTAAGGATCCCATCCCCATCCTTCCATGGGGGTCCGGCAGGGACCTGTGTGGTGCAGCATCCACCACCAAGCAGCACAAATTCAGGGTAGCCAGGGCTGACAGCAGCGCTGACACCCCCACACCACCAGGAATGGCCGCTGCGAAGCTCTCCAAACCCCTCCAAGAGCCTGGGGGCTGCCTCCCCCCATGCAGCTCAGTGGGGACCCCCATGCTATTTACTTGCAGAATGCTTTCTGGTTCAGCCTGGGATGCTGCACCTTCTTCCTCATCCCCAACATCATCTTCGCCATCAGGCTCACCAAACACTTCCGCCCCATCCGCAACCGGCTCATGTAAGAGGCGGGCATGGGGTGGGCAGGTGGGCTACCTGGGGTGGGAGGATGCAGGGAGGGGAGATGTGGGCTCCTCCTCGACCCCCTGATGTTTTCCTCCTTCTCCTTCTCCAGCTCTACAGGTTCAGAGGAGACCTGTCCCTTCCACATCCCCCGTGTCACAGCGCTCAAGCTCTAGGACAGGGGCTCTGCCAGGTGTGGCGGTGTGCCCTGCACCCAAGGAGCTCCCATCAAACTGTGCCCAAGCATTGCTGGGCTCTGGGTGCCTCCAACGTCTTGCAGGGCTCCAGCTCCTTCTGACGTCTCTTTCACGGTGTCCTTTGGGGTCTGAGCAACCTTCCCAGGCACGGGCCACACATCTCCATGCGCCACGGAGCTCCAGGTCTCTCTGTGTCTCTTCCTCAGCCACCTTCAGCGTCTGAGCACCCATCAGGGACACTCCTGGAGCCCAGCTGATCCAGGGCACAGGGGAAGGTTCCCCACAGCTCTGGCTAACAAACAACCAGCAGACCCCGCAGGGAAGGACACCCGCCCGCTGCCCCATGATGCTTCCCCACACCCGGGACCTCCGGGGCAGTAGGCACATTAAAGTCCTCCCCAACCAAACCTGCCACTGCCTGCTTTATTTCATGGCCATCGTCTCCCCCCACCTTTTCCACAGGGCACCCGTTCAGGCCTGGGAGGTGGGTGGCAGCCCTGAGGGGAAGAAGGCCTGGCCCAGCCCACCTGCTCCTGCAGGAGGCCTCAAAGGCATTGAGGCCCAGGCCTGCCCTGTGGGCCGTGCCAGGCCAGGCCGGGCCTTCCCAGGGCAGGGAGCAAGGCTGCAGCCGAGGGGACTCCTGGGGCTGGGAGGGCTCCAGGCCTGCTGGGGCTGAGGGGAGACCATGGCTGGAGGGACTGCAGGGCTGGGGGAGGCCCCGGGACCGGCTCTGGGCTGGGGCCTGGGCCTGGAGGAGCTCTGGGTCTGGGCCCGGGCCTGGGGGAGCTCCAGGGGTGGGCCCGGGCCTGGCTACCAGGGCTGGGCCCACAGAACCCCCATCTCCAGCCCACCAGAGGCCCAGCACACATAACCGCACTCCCACCAGAGGGTTGGGGGTGGGGGGGATGGTCTTCCTGGCCCTCCAGGTGCTGTTAATTAGAGCTAAATTAGAGATGGCATCTCAGAGGCAAAACTACAGGTTAAGGTGGGGTATGCTGTAGGTAGGTTCTGGCTCTTCTCCCTCTCCCAAGGAAGCCCAGGCAGGGCTTTTGACTCCCAGTTTATAGCATCGATGGCTTTATGGTGTGAAACTTCAGCTTTTCACTACTATCCTTCATCCCCTGATTTCAAAGCACTTTGTCCAACTAGCAAATTATTTACAAAATCTATACAGGAGTTAGCTGATCAGCACCTTCCAAGCGAGGGAGGATTTCCCAGTGTTTCCCTCACTGTTTACTAACCAGCAGAGAAATTCCCCATCTTTATGCATTATTAAAAGGCTATTGCTACCCACAGCCAGAAATAATGCGTAAAATACCTGTTTTATGCATTATTTAGGTCATTGCTGCCTAGAGCCAGCTGGTTTTATCCAGTACTTGCCTGCAGAGGTCATCATTGCAAAGGCTTTTTGCAAAAGGGATTTAGGGAGCTGAAGCCCAAAGGAGGATTTCTGCATGCACCCCCATGCCCAGGGGTATCCTCAGCCCATCTGTAAACTGTCCGGTGGCGTCATCTGCAAAAATCAACTTTAAAGTGGAGTATTTTGTGGTCAGAGGAAGGGTGGTGGTGGGGAGAGCCAGGGGTGCGGAGAAGCGATGTTAGTACCTGGGATTCAGTCAGAAAAGATGTCCACGACTTTTCCGCTCCCAGCTGGGTTTATTTTGAAGGCTTACAATCATGAAATTCTGAGATAATTAAAAGGGAAAGGCCTGTCTCATTTTTATAAGCCCCTCTCAACAGTAGTACTACATTTTAGGTAAAATAATACCCACTATGTGGTGCAGAAGAGCAAAGGGATTATCTACTTTAAACAGTAAGTAACATAAATGCAATTATATTTATTTAGCTGATCCATTGATTTAAAAATGCTACAGGTTTGCAGACAAACGAGCTGAATTCAGCTGGCTCTTCTTCCTAAAGTTATTTCTTGTAGCTGGGTCACAATAAATAATGGATAAGCACAGTTAGGCAATGAATAACAGAGGAATTCACCCCAAAACAGATGCGTATTATAAATATGTGTGGGCACCACTGCCATCTCTCTGTTCCCTGCCTGGGAGGTAGAGGAATTAAAAATATGAGCAGTTACCTCTCTGAGTTAATAGTAAATCACCAACGAATAATGCAGAAAATTGTCCTAAACCAACTGGAGGGCACTTTATTTTTTAGGAAAAAAAAAAAAAAAAAAAAAAGAGAAGACACAGCTGGATAATGATCCATCACTCAAAGCAAAGTCATGGTTTATGATTAATCTCCAATCCCTCCCCAAAGCGACCCCCCCTACATGGGCTGACTCACCTTCCCTCTGCTTGATTACTTGTATTGATAAATGAAAGACTGAAATTAGCTCATTTCCAGCTGCCGGGTGTGGTAATTTTATTACAAAAAGTGTGTATCTCCTCTGTCAGAGGTGATTTTTTTTTCTATCTCAGTTTGTCTGGGACCTGTGTTCTGGGCACTTCTAAGGACTTAACTAAATTGGTGTTGATTAAACCACTTCCCTTCTCAAACCCTCCTCTCTTGAAATTCAACTCCTGCGACGCCTCACCTGGCACGCCTTCCTTGGGCACTACCCACTGACCCTGAGAAGTGTCTATAATTAGCATATAGAAGATCAATAATTCAAAGGTCTAAAGGGCAACAGCATTGTTACCTCTCCCTTGCTGGGTTGTGTCCGTGGCGGAGAGCCAGGTGCTCTGCGCAGCCCATGTGTGGTTCCCCACCAACACCTATTTTCTCTTCTCTATTCCCGGAACTGAGGAGAAATACAGGAAAAGCATTTGCAGCCAATTCTGCCAGAATCAGCCTATTTCTGGAGTTAAAATAGTATCCAGGTTTACTATTGTTATTTCATTTCCCCTTTTTCTTTTTCTTCCCATTCGTCAAGGAATACCAACCTCTTTTTTTTTTTTTTTTCTCCAGAAAAAGGATCTGTGACTTCTTCCATCTGGTTTTCTCATCATCCCCTGAAAACAGTTCAGAAAGCTCAGATACAAAACAGCTGCCATGAAGAGTTGTTCAAAACTGCATTCCCATCCCAGTCCCCAAAAAGTGTTCATTTTAAAGCTAATTGTCCAGGAGAGCTCCAGCTGTTAGTGAAGGAGCAGTAAGACCCCAATTCTCAGCTTTATTTCATTTAATCTAGGCCAAGGAGTTGACATAATTATATCAAACTTTCTTTTTTTTTTGTTGAGCGACAGATGACCTAATGAATCCTCAGCAGAATAACGCAAGCTCCCAAACAGGCTAAGCTTTGTGAGAAATCAAGTCCCAGAGGCTTTGCTCCAGCTTCTTTTGTTTTTAACATGACAAGCTCCTTGGATCATTGACACCACAGAAATATTTTGGACTGCACAAATATTTCAGGTCAGAATATGGACAAGAAAACACCCTGGGAAAGATAAACGGTGTTTTATTATTAGTGCTAATTATTATTTGCTATTTAACAGCTGTGGATGAGGCTTTGCTTGCAGGAAGCTTCCTTGTGCCAAGCCCGGTGTGAACAATATGCCCAGTGTCCCCCTGGCTCAGGATAAACAGCCGGTCCCAACCCGCTGCTGTAAATGCAAAACTAATTTCCTCCTGTTTCTGTAGTTTGATCATTGTTCCTTCCCTAGAGCCTCACTGGGCTTGCTGAGAAATGCACTGAAAAACAAGCTGGGGGCCAAGGTCGCCGGAGCTGCTGGGAAAAGGACACGTTAGAGTTGTGTAGTTCAACCAGATGCGGCTTTACGAATAGTTATATATAGAGAAAAAAAAAAAATCTCTGCCCATCATTGGAGTAAAATACCATTGCCCAAGCTGGGGTTTGTCCTCTGGTGCTGCTCCCGCATGTGGACTCGGAGCAAGGTTTATGTTCATCATCTTACAAAGCATTTTCCTCTGCCCTGTCTAAGCATCGCTATGACAAAGTCCTTTGCAGCCCGTGCTTGACACCGCTGGTTTTTTGCTCTTGGTGGCATGGAGATCGCGGCAACCCCAAGCCCTGAAAAGCCCTGGGGCTGCTTCTCTTGTGACTCAAGCCCTCTGCAGAGATTTAACATGACTTTTGTTGTCCCGCCTTTCTCCACACAGGCTGCAGGCCCTGGTGTTTGCACCGTGTTGGGAGTTGCTTTGGAACAGTCAAGGAGATCAAGTTAAGGAGAAATCCTTTAGGGGAGTTGTCAGCTCTGGCATCTCTGCTCAGCCCCTGAAGCTAGCACATCTCATCTCCAGACTGTAGTAATTAGATGGTCCTACTGTGCATAATCTTTGCTGCTATTTATTAAAAAAAATTGCTAGCTGGGGGAACAAACCTCATTTCAAAATGCTTCCTTCTCCACACCCTGGTCAAAACTCAACTTCCTACACAGCTTTTTTTCCTAGGCTGGCCATTCCCATGGCATAATCTTGGGTCAGAAGTAGGAATATTACCTGTTTTTTTTCAATCGCATTGGCTAAGGGCGAGTAAAAAAACCCAAGCCTCATCTGAGTACATCAGGCACTTGTACCCCAGTGCATCCATTGTAGAAATACCTTAGGGGAGATGCTACAAATTTCAGTTTCTCATAAATAAAAACATTTGCAATCTCAGCTGCCTTCAAGCGCCAGCTAAAAACCAGCCACCATGCCTGGAGATAAACCTCTTGGATGATCCCAAGCATTATTTACACCAGCTGAGAGCGAGCATGCAGCAGTTAAGCTAACAACGCCGTTCCTACATCGCTTGCATCCCCTCTGCTCAGCACCAAGGTAGCCATGGAGATGACTACAGAGAGCATCGTGCCCATGACAACTCTGCATGAACATCTCGAGCATCTTTGGAGCAGCCTTGTCTCCCTCTGGGATTTTCCTCACTCCAGACAGCAATTATTGTCTTGTTCTTGCTCCCACGCAGGTGATGGTAAAGCTTTCCCCCATCAGCAGCTCCCCTTCCAAGATGAAAGGGCAGAGAATTAAACATATGGAGCAGATTTGGCATATAATGCCGGAATATTTGG